CTTGTCGATGGTGGCGATGCTTACGTTGATTTCAGCTCTTAGTGTTTGTATGTGGGTGTTTTAATGGGAATGTGGATCTTTCAGAACACTTTGAGAAGCACCTATGATCTCGTTCCACATTTTATTGCGTGCCATGCAATGCAGGGAACTGATCTTGGTCTCGACTGCTCTCAGCCCCTAAAAGTCTTGGTCTTGTCTCGGGCTCGATGAACTCTGGTCTTGGTCTTGACTTGGTCTCGGTTTCAGCGGTCTTGACTACAACACTATTTTATGGTATTTGCACTTGTGATTTTCAAAAAGACCTATTGGTCATTTTTTTAAAGCTTAAAAAATGCCATGCCAACTTTTCCAGCCACAACCCATGACGTTAAGGCCTCTTTCACGGTAGCACGGAGTTCATTCTATAGCTAGGTTTAATAACTGAACAAATCAAATACATTTATTGTTTACTGGAGCCCTTTAAGTATTTAAGAAGCCTCATTTCGTTGTCAAACATAACACCTTTTAGGCACAAACAGATTTGTTTTTTTACTTGTTTCTGTACAGACTAACAGAACAGAAAAGCAGTGCTGATCTGATTTGGTGACACTACAACTACTTTGGGGCCAATCGGGGTTCAGTATGTTTGTTTGGTTTGTACAAATTGTGAGAAATGCTGTCACAATTATCCGAGCCTAAAGTGACACCATCACATTTACCAACAGTCCCAACCTCGAAATTATTTTAAAAAATTGAAATTCTTAAAATAATTAAAAAGGAAAAGCAGCAAATCATCACATTTGAGAGGCTCAAACTGACATTTTTGCATGAAAAATTACCATTGTCAAAATGACTTTTCTGTCAATTAATTAATCATTTCAGATTTGTTCATTGTCATGTTTGTAAAGTAACTAGAGCTGTCAGAAATATGTAGTGGAGTAAAAAGTACAATATGTCCTTCTGAAATGTAGTCGAGTAGAAGTAGAATGATTTACATGCAAATAATCGTGCAAAGTACAAGTACCTCAAATTTGTACTTAAATAAATGTAGCCTACTTAAAATATTCAGAAGGGGATCTTTTATAGTGCGCAAAGGGTGCCTAGCAAATTAATCTAGGATACCTGCAGGAGTTCTAAACAGAGATAGATAGATAGATGGATAGATGGATAGATCAGTCCTCAGGTGGGGCACAGTGAGCTGGTGCTGCCTCTCATGAACAGATGGCGTCCATATTTCCACATTTGTGCACTTGGCAGTGTGCTGACACAATAATCTATCTTAGTGGGCAGAAGGACACCACACTGTAACCCCTGAACACAACGTGCATGGAACACATTCTGTACACACATTTGCAAATGGGGCTTATAGAATATAGGTGCTCCGCAATATCCGTAAAATTTTTTCATCGCTTCTCCCGCCCACACAACTTATGTCATGTTAAGGCACCTAAAAAAGATCACTGTCTGGAAATGCCAAACAATGCACAAAACCAACATTTGTCTGTACAGTCGGTCTAATTAAACAGCTCCAGAGCACCTTTTCATTACTGGAGGTGGTGTGAGTGGGACCAGTCGCCCCTGAATCTCTCTATCGTCTCTGTAAATGTAAAAAACAAACATTCAACAGACAAGAGCAGAGAATCCTTCGCTACACCAACATTTTATTACTGTGTAATAAAGGCACATAAAAGTTAATCTGCTTTGAAAAACCAGCAGGGGTCAGAGATCAGCAGATGGCAGACTCTTGTTAAACGATGGACATTTACACAAAATTAGAAAGGGATCATTGCTTGATGATGATGTCGCATTAAACATACTGAGCTCCCAGCAGTGAGCGTGACACTTTCACAGGAAAAATCAGCTAACAGAAGTCATAGTGCAACAGTTCATCATTATGTGCTGCAGTCATTCTTCTGAGCAGCTGAACAATCCTCGTAAAATGTTCTTAATTCAACCTAATAGTGGTCTGGATAGTAATTTGAAATCAATCCTGAACCACTTGCTAGTCCACTGTTGCATCAGTCAGGTTTGTAAATGCTCATTTTAAAATGGAAAAATGGATGCTGAGGAAGTTTGTATGGTTAATCATCTACTTCATTTTTAACAAGCTGGCAGGCATGAGGGAGACGTCTCACCTCCGTCAGGATTGAGAGTTCTGCTCTGGGATCTGTCAGCGTTGATCTGTCCTCCAATGACTCACCATTAACAACCTGCTGCCAATCAGGAGGGCCTGACTAAATCAAGCCTAGCAGTCTCATCTGTGAGTCCTCCTGGGTAACCTGATACAGTAACTCGTCCCCTCAGTACATATGAAGGATGCACACACACACTGTGAGAGGGGTAAAGTAGAAGATGAAGTTTGGGTAAAAGGAAAAACACTGCAGGAGCATCAAGTAGAAATAATACAACAGAAGAATTATTAATGTGTTTATTCTCCTTCTTTTTTGATGAATAAGTAGAGTTGTCATAAAGTAAGACAGCAGTTTACATAAATACTTTAATACTGCTTGCTGTGTCTACTTGAAACCCCTCATCAAAAGGCTGGTTGTGAATGTGTCCTGTCCATTCAGAAGTATTTCAAAGAGAAAATGTAAGAAAGTAAGATTACAGAAAAACTTTTTCATAATTAGGTGCTGCCTTAAAGTGGTCATATTACGCAAGGGCAAGGGCAACTGGACTATTCCGCTCATTTTCAGGTTCATAATTTTATTTAGGAGTTGTACCAGAATAGGTTTACATGGTTTAATTTTCAATAAACACCATATTTTTGTCATACTGCACATCGCCCTGCGTTTTGAACGCTCCGTTTCGTTTTAGCTACAGAGGGAAGCATCTCACTTCTATTTGATCTTCGTTGAAAGTCTTGATGTCTTGTCACCGTGTGCTGCAGCTCAATGTGTTTCTCCACCAGGGTTTTTAGGGTGTGCCCAACGAGCTGCTAGGCGAGCATTATGATGCGTGTTACTAATAGTGACACAGATAGGTCACGGGAGTAAAGGCTGGACTACAATTGAGCCGTTTTTGGGCAGTTCAGAGCAGTGTTGTCTGTGGGAGATGGGAACTCCCTTTGGGGTGGACTTTGGGCTTTTTCACTTTGCAAACCTATTACATGCACAAGAAAGATATATAACACAATAAAGGAAAGGGAAAAGCCAAAAAGCATAATACCACCTCTTCAGGTTCATCTTAGGGCCCATTGTGGTTGCCCCGACTCCCGGGTTGGTAATTACCAATAGAATAAACCATGATAAAGTTGAAATCTTTAGCATTACCATGAAACCAGGATCAGCTATTGGCTGGATCAGCCATTTAAGGAACTAAACGCATTACAGAGATTGCGACAGAATAACACAATGCAAGTCAAACTATAAAGGCTGTCACATTTGTGAACAGCCTTTACATGACAGTTCCAATACTCGGCAATGCATCTTTCCTTTAGCTCTGCAGCCGTCTTCAGAGAGCATGTTGAACTGATCTGAAACACGGTGACCCTCTGAAATCCCACATGGAAACACCACTCATGCTTAGCTCCTTGCCGCAGGTCACCGAGCAGCTAATGGAGGCGAAGTCCTCAGAGCAGCAGTGCCGTCTCATCCTCAGCTGCATGACAGTGAGAAAATGACAATGAAACGTCCAAGCGAATGAGAGACAAACATGAATATCAACACCCATTTATGGTGAACACAGCCCTCAGATCTCTGTGACTATTTGTGTCAAGTGTGTTTTCTTGAGAAATCCTGAGTCTTAACTGTTGTAGTGATTTCTTTATGAAGGCATGAAGGGCGTTAAGATAACCCTACAAACTGAAGTGCCAATGCTGCAGAAAAACAACTACGAACTACGAAATGTTTCTTTTCAGCTGAAAGCGTCGGGCAGGTTTCATGAGCCTTAAAAGAAGGTTCAACATTTTGGGAAACATTTTATTTGCTACCTTGCTGAACTGAGAGCTAGATGAGAAGACTGACACAACTCTTATGTCTGTATGCTAAATATGAAGCTGCAGCCAGCAGTGGGTTAACTTAGCCTAGCTTAGCATAAAGACAGGAAATGGGGAAACACCTAGCCTGGCTGGGTCCAAAGGTAACACAATCCACCTTGTCTTTTTGCTATGAGAAGGCCAGGTATGTCCATAAAACTACAATGTGTTGTTTTTATACTTTTAGTACAGAGTACACAAATGAGATAGAACATATTTTATTAACACGTAAGTTAATAAGTGCGCTTTAGAGGTGCTGATAGGCAGATTGTGTTACCTTTGGACAGAGCCATTCTAGTTGTTTTCCCCTACTTACAGTTTTTATGCTAAGCTAAGTTACTGGCGGTAGCTTCATATTTAGCATCAACACAAGGCAAGAAAGCAAGTGCCCTCCCCAAAATGTCAAGCTATTACTTTAAAAGCCAGTCAAAAATGTGTCTAAAGATAAGGACACCTTTCATTCCTGATGGTTAAGTTGCAATCAAAAGCTATGCAAGAAGCTGCCACAAACAATGTTATAATAAATGACCAATAACAAATAACAGATTATTTTGGCACTCTAGTGAAGTTAACATAAAGGCTGCAAATAATGCACGTCGCCGGAAAAGTTCAGCTTGCAAAGTAAAAATAAAAACACTTAACTTGTCTTATCCAGGGTGGGAGTGTGAATCTCAGTTGTCTTTAAAACCAAGCTGAAGGTATTACTCTGAAGGAAAATGTTTACTAAGAAATTTAAAAGCCTCAACATTACATGACTGAATGAATTAATCCACTTAGCCCAAAAAATACTATCCTAAAAAAAATGATTTCAAGGTCGCTGATAGGATAAAGTTACACGCATCATTAAAAAAAGGGAAATTCTGTATCAATAACTTATCAATACTGAAGCACCGGAGTGTGTCACTTAAAAACTAAGAGGTTAGGGAGAATTTCTCTCATTCAGTTATCCGTTCTCTTCTGTCATCAGCTCAGCTGCAGATTAGACTTCAGGTGCCCTTAAATAAGCACAATAAATCATACAGACTGTGTCAGAGTCACGCACACACCCATGTTTTCTCTTTTTATTCAGTGATAAATAATTTCCTATGATCATAGGCTTTATGTGAAGACATCCGATCAAGGCAAGAGACAAATTAGAGGGCACACATTGCCACCATTAGAAAATAATAGCAGAAACAAAAACAATGAGGTAAGAAGTTTCTCTTTTTTTATACAATTTGTGATGCTTCTATTTCTGTTACCTATACTGTTGAATGCACAGTGCTTCCTAATACAGAAATCCTGCCTTCTGTGTCTGTACATTATTAAACAAAAACAGGTCATGGAACAATACTGAACCAACCAAAGACAGGGCACTGCAGAGTGTATAGTTAGCAGTATACATCATCAGACCGAGAGTAAGAAAAGCTGAGCAGGAAACAGAAATACAAACAAAATAAGACTTAGTGACTGAGCTCCGTGATTGATTCCACACACACACTTTTTTCAGGAGAGATCAGAGTATCAGTAGGTTGTATGCTCCCCAAATTTTTATGACCCATGTCTATATGTGAATATGTGTAAGTGTTAAAACGGGTAGTTGATCAATACAAAATTAACCTGCAACTATTTTGATCTCTTCATTTCTTTAGCTCTGATTGGCTGTTTTGCTTTGTCTCTTACATGACACATAAATTGTAAATGTGTGGGTTATGAACTGGTCTTGTGACAATCAAAAATTAGTTGAGGGACAGCCGTGTTAATGTCAACTGTAAATGGACTTTAAAATTGATGGATAAACCTGCTCCAAATGTCAAAGATTTTTGAGTATACTAAATGTTGAATAATAGTCATCACAGATGTCCATCAATCTACTTAGAAATTATAGGGGAAAAAAAGACACCCTTCTCAACTCCAGAACTTGCCTTAAAATCATCATGTTTTTAAGTTTTCTTCAGTATCAATGTAATCCAGTGTTAGTTGTCTGTACATAAATGGGTACATTGTAAACGAGAGCAACTAATATCTAACTCGGCATACTTAATGGTGCCGATTTGTAAAAATGTGAAACAATATAGGCAAAAAAAAAAAAAAGATAAAAAGATAGTTTTCGGTTAACATTTCCCAAAGCCCCCAAATTATGGGAGCTGTAGATCCCAAAGAGCATGATTATGGCCCAAAACAGAAATCACCGTAGGCATCACCTTGAAGGAGGCAAGATCGCCGAAAACTTCAGGTGAGGTGCTAAATAAAGCATGGTTTGCCAGATAAGAGTCGCGTGACCTGTCTTAATTTTGCGGTACTTGTAGTGAAGCTCACATTGATCTGTTATTAGCACATTCTCTGGGGATAATTATTTTTGTAATTCATTACTCTAATCAGGACAATAATAGACAATGAAAAGAATTGTTAGCTGCAGCCCTAATGTGAGTATTTGCAAGGTACAGACAGTGTGGTAGTGGCTGTACATGCGCGCGTGCGTGTGTGTGTGTGTGTGTGTGTGTGTACATTCACGGGCCTCAGTGGCAGCACACTGAGGCACAGCCCCATGCATGGACCTGACCTGCAGTCCCAGTGCCTTCACTGTTGTACAAAACAAGACAAAAAAACACTCCTGCTTCTTTCCAGTCCAACATTAAAGGAGAATACCACCAATTTTCAGCATTCACATGTTATTTTCCCACCTTAGATAACTTCAGCTTCTATCTATAAAAGTCAATACTGTCCGCTATAATTAGCGATATACGTGTTCATCTCGACCTCTCAAAAATGAAACACCACAGTGACATATGCTTTTGAAAAATACTTTCACTCAACTTGTGGCAGTACTTAACAGAATTAAGAAGACTACTACAAATACACAGAAGTGTGCTAATGTTCAGATGATTATTCTCTAAATTCACAGTCCTCTAGTTATTGGCAAAGGATGTGTATCAGTGTCATGGCTTTCGCTTGGCAAAAAAAGTTGTCTATACTCACTAATACTCTGTTGCTGTCCATATAAATAACATAATGCAAGGTCTTACATTGAGTGGCATTCTCCTTGACTAGACCTCCTGGTCTGCTGCCCAGGGAGGTCACCCCTGGTTTGCTACCTGCTCCAGAGCTGCAGCTGATTGGAGACAAAGAGGCGTCACACCTGCGCCTTCCTCTCGCCCACAGCTGGCCGTGAGCTGGCCCAGACAGCTGGTCTCACAACTGCTTTCCCCAGCTCACACACCTGGGGCCTTGTGAAGTGACAGGCGAGAATAAACCCTGCTCGAAAGCCAAGCTGGCAGAATTTTAAAAAAACAAACAAACAAAACAGTTCCCCTCAGAGATTCATTCAGTAAACCTCAATTACACTCAAGCTACTTCAGTGGAAAGGCGACGGGGGAGCGAAGGTGGAAGAAAAAATAAAATAAAAAGAACACAAATTGTACAACAACAGAAAAAAAAAAAAAACCACACAACTGAAATAGCAAAGAGAAGCCAAAAATAGTAACAGGAGCGGTCATGATGGCACAGATGTGTGCTGATGGCGGCGGGCGGGGGTCAAGTCGAGGAGCGGCTGGTCCTCAAGAAATGTGCGCCAGCATTGTGGCCGCAGTTGCCATGACAGCGGCACATTAAGCACCCTTTTCCAACAGAACAACAAGAAAGAGACGGTCATATTTTAAATCAACAGTGGCAGGGTGCTGCGACGGCCTCAGCTGCCCTCTCTCACACTCTCCCCCACCCCCTCTTTAGTGTTTTGTTCGTTTCCATTTGTTTAGTTCTTAGGTACTCCGAGGTGCTGCGGTCCCTTGACCAGAGACCGCCCTGTTTCAGGCTTCTGGACAGAGTTTGTTGTCTTTGATTTTCAGTCATTGTGTGTTTTTGTAAATCCCATAACATTTTCAGAGCCTCCTGGGGTCAGTCCAGAGGCGGGCAACGGCGAGTCCTCAGCCTGGGAGGCAAACTTTGCCTGCAAACAGAAGTCCCACTATGGTGAAGAAGATGGAGAGGACAAACAGCACGTAAGAGGAGCCGACCACTGTGTTGTTGGGCAGCTTGTACGGCTGGCCTCCCACCTCGTTGATATAGAAGCCTATGGGGAAGATGAGCGCCGCCATGCAGAACAGGATCACTGGAAGGAAGGAGCGAAAGAGAAAATGTTAGTTTACAGTTGAGATTCTGATGAATTCCAGGTTTTCATGAGTTTTAAGGAAGGAATAAAAGATGGGAGACCTAATGCAGAAAAAGTCTGACCTCAGGCTACACTTTTTACAGCCTTTCTTCTCCAACAAAGATGCAGAAAATTAGGAAGGAACTCACTCAACTGCTCAAATTGAATTCAATTTTTAGCAAGTTCATTAGTGGCATTCAATGGCGCCTTTCAAATGCTTTAAAGGAGCAATTAGACAAAGCAGACTCATGGTATGCAGCGTGATTTTTTTTTGGAATATGAGAAAATCAGTCCAGTGCACTATGACACAAAGTGTTCTGTAATGTGGCATTTATGTAACTTTAAATGTTTCAACATTTCATTTAAAAATTGGTTAAATGTCATTGATTATACATTATTCTGACAAATGGACAGCAACAGGAGTCCAAGCAAAAAATCTGAGTGGCTCAGCCAAAACCAAAATTTGGCAGTATATAATTATTTTTTCGCAGAGTGCAGAAATGACAGACTCATTGCTCACTTTACAACAATGCAGAAGCAGTAGCACAAATCATTGTGAATACACTCATTTTTGCAGCACCGGCAGATGTAACTGAACAAAAATCCTATTAATAATCTTGAAAATTACGGTTGGGATCAAAGACGATGTCTCTTCTCCCCACACAGACACACTCACACACACCTACACCACAGGTAAACACCCCGGCTTGCCCTGCCTTTCTCAGTCTCTCTCCCCCCGTCTGCTCCATTTTCTCCATCAGCAGTATGTTTTATAAAGTTGCCTAAAAGACTGAGAAATCGTTTTTTTCTGTATATTTCCACTAGCGATCAGTTATCACGGCAGCAGGTGAGCCGCATGTCGGCTTATTAATGACGTAGCCTATCAAACAACTTAAACCCACATCTGCACCCTGTGTGTGTTCACTGCTTCTTTTCTCTGGTCCGTGCATAAAATATCCACCATGACGTAAGTTAATAGTCTACCAATTCTTTTTACCGAGTGAAGTCTGTGCGAGAACACATGCACATAAGACGACTGCACAGAAGACCCCCGCGCACCCGATGACATCGTCCATCCCAGTGTTTCATTGTAGACATGGTCCGATGGAAACCCTAGTTGGAATGTTGAAGTTTCCTGTGCATATCTACTGTCAACTAACAAATAATGCCTTAAAAAACAAAATAAACACAAAGGCTTAGTTGAACAATTTCAGAAACAACAAGCATGCAGTGTTTGCTGGTATGAACCTGTAAATCCATCATCTACTGTACACACAAGTACACAAATACAAAAACACACAATTTAAAGTCAGGGCCAGAAATGCACACAGCAGATCAGAGTCAACAGCTCTAAAAACCAAGAAATAGATTTTATACAGGAGCAGAAAAACAGTGGAGGCATCAAACATTGTTGTGTTTCACTCACAAGTGCCTTGATTCAGTCCTTGTACTCTTTCAGATACAATCATGTTGATTATTAATATGCGACCCCAGGCCTAATTTATAAATAACTGCTTCCCTTCTGTCTTCCACACCTTTCTCTACAATTCAAATAATTTCCGTGTTTACTTGCTACGTTTGTCAGTCTGTTAAGTTGTTTGCATGTTTCCAAGTTTAAATTACAAAATCTCAGAGTACTTGAACGCAGCATTCCTCCATACTCACAATGTTTTAGAAAATCAAAAAAAAAAATCCTTCAGGTAGGAGGCATTTGTTCATTTCAACTTTGAAGTTAATTTGAAGTCAGGCTTTTCTGTGGCTTTAGGCAATTATTTATGGGTAAAACTGTATCATTATCAAGTACCATCCTTGAACTCAACACATATGTACAGTATTTCTGACACTGCTTGAACGCAGCATTAGTTGCACGTATAGAATCAGCAGTAAAATCGCTGAAAAAGTTTGATGACATTTCTCCTTTAAAAAGGTTTAAAAAAGCTTTTTTCCCCTACCGGTTTGACTTCTACTACAAATTTGCAGTAGTAGTGATGCAGGCGTAGTAGACCCTTCCGTCAGTGGAACCACACGATTGGCTTTTTAGCAGGAGGGGCGGGACAATTGCCATCTTTGGCGTTACAGGCTTTCCCTATAGAGTTGTATTGAGCATTCTTAAAGGGGACCTATTATGCTTTTTCACATTTTCTGGCATTTCAAAAATGTTACAATGTCAGATGTTCATGTTAAACATGGCCAAATCCTCAAATGATGAGGTAAAAGTATTTAAAAGAAATCACTGAGCCAAAACCTCAGATATCCCCCAGTTCTGAATGCTCTGTTTGAAACTGTTTTTCTAATAACGGCTTGGTATGATGTCTTTCCGAGGCAGATTTTCATATATGCTCATTTGCTCAGATTAGGTTTGATCCCATAGACACTCATCAATTGAGCCAAGACAGCTGTTTGACATAACTTCTAAACCAAATACATAAAAAAGGTCCTAAGGTATTCATAAGTTTCTGACTCTGATAAAGTGGGAAAAACAATTCCCTAAAACTACTGTATCTCTGAAGTCTCTCAAATCACATACATGTAGACTATTCTATATGATCTCCTGTTGATAACTATTTGTTATAATCTTTATAACATTTCACGACGGACAGTTATCAGATGGATTATCAAAACTGATGCAGCAGAACCCAGATACATCGTCTTTTTCACCCCCACACATTGCTTGTCCTTGTCAAAACCTTGCACCTACATTACCCACAATGCAACGCTACCTCTTATCGTTTGGTTGCAGAGTCAGGTGTGTTATGCTAGTGGACTCAAGCTGCTTGCCTCAAGCAGAGATGAGGAATGGGCTACAGAAGTCTGGTAAGGTGACTTCTTTCAACTCCTCACCCCTGTTTTTTTATTTTATTTTACGCATGTGTATGACAAAAACTTCACAGAGGGAAAGTACCCCTGTAAAACAGTGAGCATGGTATGAACTTCTGGGCAGCATGTGTCAGATTTGTTAACAGCTGCATCACAAAGCAGAGGTCAGGGGCAAAGTTATTACGAGGTCTTATCGTACTCCCCAGAAAGGAGGCGACCGTGAATGGATAACAAAGTTGTCACTAATTAGCATGGCTCCCTTTTCTTCCGTTATCACTGGAGATTTTTGGTCAAGCTCCGAGTCCACTTATGTAACACACAATGACGCTGATCACCAAAGCAAACTGTGTGACTTTGTGAATCGCAGATCAATGGCTGTGCGGAGCTTGTGAAATAGCTTCATGGACTTAAAATAACTCTTACATTCAAAGACCACAGTCAGATGTCTTTGGCAGCATTGTGAGGAAAATGTGACAGGTTATGTTACTAGCGTGTGCCACAGTTACTTTAAACTACCTTAGTTTTTAGCAGAAGTAGTAGTACTCCAACACAAGGTATGACAGCTCTTTAAAGATAACTGAGGCTGTGTTGAATTATTTTGGTTTCCTCAGCGGTGTGTGATCTACTTGGTGACAGAACATGAAGCCATTTTTAGCTTTCACAGCTTCACTCCATCCTGCCAATTAGCAAAGTTATTCTGTACCTGAGGGACGATTTTACTTGAAAATCTCACTGATGTTGCCTTTGACAGTTTTGTTAACCAGAACGGTGTCACGCAGCTGGATGAGTCTGTAGTTGTACAGTAATCTGGATATTGGGATTAAAAGACATTGAATAGCTGTCTGAAAATCAATATCTAAAATTCACACCAGTGATTAATATTAGATCGGGCGTGGGCGACATGAACAAAATCCTCTCTAACTGATCCAATAAACAGACAGGAATATTTGTTTTGGTTAATCTAGCAATTTAAATACCTGACAAATCAAAGTGCGTAATATAATTTTATATAAATCCTAATAAAACCAGAGATATTCATGTGATGGCAGCCACGGTATGAACGATATATCTCACAATATATCTCGTCAATCGCCCACTCCTATATTCCATCTGAATAAGATTAACCAAGTGTGACATTCATGCAGCAATTTCATTAACTAATAAACTGGTTTTGTAGTATCATGGTGCCATTAGATTTTTTTGTCAGATTGCTGCATTGCCCTCCGTACTTTCTTAAAAAAAAAAATAAATAAATCCCTTCTTTGTCTGACATGTAAGCATTTATACACTGTTTAAGATCCTGATGTCAGTATGTTCAGAAACAGTCCTTGAACAGCAAAAATAATAATAGTAATAATCAGATGCAAGTAGTGCAGACTCTCACTGGCCAAACATCTCCAGCCTGTCAGCGAGCATAAATGAACAATATTTGGTGTCGCTGGCATCACAAGGAGCAAATATTTATGTCTGTTGTTTTGCCTGCTCATTGTGAGGGAGGGTTGCATGATTGCAAAAGGATGCTGTGAAAGGTATGCTAAAGTGGAGCCAGAAAACCGCGGCTCAGCATTGTTCCTGCAAGCTTAACCAGTGAGTTAATTTAAGTGCACCTCACGGTCCACTGCTTCTCTTAAGTGCATAAACTGATGACAGACGGTGCCTTGCTCACCTGCTGCTGGTCAACCGACAGCATCTTGGATCATAAATAACATGCTGCTATTACAGTGTAGTACGGTAATTACATTTATACTTGAAAAATATTTGCAAAATGTTATATAATCTGTAAATATTTTGACAGTTAATTGTTTGAGTCCTTTTTCATGCAAAAATGTAAAAACGATTTAGTGTCAATTTACTCTTTAAAATAAGGTTTCTGTTGTTGGTTTCTGACCAACCATACATTATCATTTATTTTGTAATTTCATCTTTAATTACCACATTTCCTGCAGCTACTGTTAATGTATTGTTTTTATATTTATTATGACCCAACTCCAACTCCACCCCCACAGATGACTGTCACACCTTGGGGGAACACTGCTGGTGTGTGCATATAGCGACACAGAGGCGGTTCTGTGCTGGTTTATACAAAGCGGTCCATTCAGGTACCGGTGGCCTGGAGCCAGTTAGACTAAAAACTGCCCACCTTCTCTCAACCTTCATCACCTGTTTGCCCCGAATGAACCACTCCCAGTCTCCTTACAACCAACTTCACTTTAATCTCCCTTTCCATGTGCGTCTTTACATTGGCACCCATCTCTTACTTACTTATACTCTCTGCTATTGACCTGTAAAAACATGATTATTCACTCAGCTCAACTTCTTTACTCAACTCTTCTTAATCCCCCGCCAGTTTCCTCACTTAACCTCTCGCCCTTCCTCCCACTCGACCGACAGCAGAGGGGTGTTCGTCATCACAGCTAAAGTTAAGCAACATCAGACGGACAAGAAAAAGAAATATGGTGTGGTCCCATTTTTGCCTCTTCGTCCCTCTCCTACACTTCAAAACAGGCTACTGGGGGTCCTAAAACAGGATGAAGTGATGATTTACCATCTCTTCTCTTCCTCTTTCAACAAACCTGCTTATGCTTTAATTACGATCATTATGCTTTAAACCCATTTAAAAATATAAAAATCTGTACTAATGATATACATCTCATCTAATATGCCCGACAGAAGCATTGCAGGGGGACAAGGGTGACAATTGCTCACTGTTGCCATGGCAATCACCTTATTTCCCTTTAAATGTGCTCGTTAAACAATGACTCAACGGCTTCTAATTTAGCTTGTGGCACAGCTTTGCGCTTACCGGACAGACAGTTTGTGGGGGGGGCTTCGGGATTCTGTAAAGTGGTGATTCATCGGGTATTTGCAAGTGATTAGGAAGAGTTACAAAACCTAATTATGAATCTGCATTTGGCCTGGTGGCCAATTACTGGGTGTTTACTCAAAAATCCGCACAGCAAAAAGGTCACAGGGTCCTGAAAAATGCACCCAGCTTTCAAAACAGTAGTATGGAGCACTGTGGCTTCACAGGCTACACCGCTGCTCCATCTGCACAAGTGTGCCTGAGGCCGTCTATTCCCCTAACTCGCCGACCAATCAAACTCCTGCCTCCCACGCAGCCTTATGAAACCAACCCAGCCACATTGCACGAGATGGATGCTGAGTTATTATCGAGTGCTGGAAGTGCATCTGTACAGAATCATGTTTGAAAAAGTGGCGATGTTCAAGGCAGAGAGGGAGAGAAAACACTAGAGAAACGCCGTGGCACATACGCCACCCACTCGGGTACCAGAGGAGCTGCATTACTCAATAAATCAGCTTCAGGGAGCAGGAGTCGTTGACGAGCAACTAAAAACAACATTCATGGATGTAACCAAACACACACATACACACGCAGGTTTTCACGTGTCAGAAACACAAACACACAAAGGTCCTGTATATAGCCTCGGATGTTTTTCCACATCACACTTATCTACATTAGCAGCGTAACTGGGCTAAAACCAATTTTTCACACTGATTCAAGCTCTTCTATTTTTATTATTTCCTGCCATGTAGAGATGATGTTCATTAAAATACTGATGTGCTAGAGGTGATTTTCTACAAAAAGGTAATGTCGTGACAGATGCAGAGAGACAAAGAAGAAGGTGAGAACGCTCCCAGGGGAAACGCGCCGACGGCAAGTTTGGTAAAGCGACACTATTTCATTCAGTGTGAATGTCATTGTCTCGTTCACTTACTGCCAGTAAAGGCGATCCAGCGGGCGTATTTGGTGGCCTCTCTGCGCCAGTGTGAAGCCACCAGCAGTCCACAGGTGACAGTGAGGGAGATGATGCCCATGATGATGAAGAAAAGTGTGGTGACCCACTCAGGGGGCAGCCGTGGTGGAATACAGGTCCGGTCTCGTCCGTGGATGGTCTGACATTGCCGGACTAGACCGACTGTAAGGGCACCTGCAGAGAGAGGATGAATGTTGATGAGGTGTCCATACTATCTGGTCTTTTTTAATTCATCACTCACCAAGCACGCACACAGAAACACTGAATACTGGGGTTACCAGCTGATCTATAACAGGGGTCCCAACCTTAATTATCATTAGGTAAATCACACACAAAACGAGGTCAGCAGAGATCAGACCAATGCAAGTACAACGTAACTGCCTCTATAACAGTCTATAACAGCATTATTAACAGAAGGTAAACTGCCAAATTATCTTTTATTTTGACCACTGAAACACAAGTGAAGCAGCTCCGTGTACACAGTATACCGTGGAGACTATACACTCGCTACATAGAAGCCAACGTTTGAGTGAGTGATCCCAATTTGATACATCTTTGACTACTTCTTTGACTTTGAGGGTGACGGTATGCCTAAAGGCTGAATTTAAAAAATAAAATAAAATAAAAAGAGAAAAGTGGAAGTGCCAGTAGAAAAAAAATATGAACCCTACAGCAAAAAAGATTAAGGGTCTCGTTGGTGGTCGGTGACAAACTAGTGCCTCAATCGACGACTAAGTGCGAGGAGGGAAAGACCAAAGTGTGGCTCATCTGATGTCAAAGTGAAAGAGGAACCAATGAAGGAGGGTGGGGAGCTGGTCTCGCCACACTGGTGGGCCCAATTATACCAGTGAGTGGCCAACATTTCTTCTTACACTTAATTCACAGCCAAGGAAAGACGGTGAGGACTAAATCAACCCTGCCAATTACTGAATCTATCCCACGCAGGTATGGCACACAGACTGTAAGAAGTTGCAACAATATCAGACAAATTTGCAGCAGCTTTTAATGTTCAATATCTCTGTATTTATTTATTTCTTTTGTAATTTTTATTTAGGATCTACATGAGTTCTTCCTGCAGAAACAACTATTCTTCCTGGGGTCCACACAAAAGACCATGAAGACATTTAAACATCACAAAAAAAATATATAGGCTAGATATAACTTCAAAATGCCAACTCTTAGAAAACTCTTCTTCCTCCATCTCTAGTAGTCTCTGAACGGGAGTCATGAGATACAAGAGAGCCAAGCTGGAGCCTGACCGTGAAGGCCAGTACTCAGAGTGGGAACATGCTACAGTGGTGCAGCCACTCTGGAGGGACGCCATTTAATTAGAGCACGTCCTCAAGGGGAATTTCTGCCTGAGTAAGCAGAACAGTGTCAGGGTCTCAGGCTATAAACGATAGGTTGTCGGGGAATAGGGGTGTCAGTAGTGCACACTTGGATGATGTGCAGCGGTCTTTTTGGGATGGCAGATGAGCTGTTCCACACCCCATGCTTTGACGCTGTTCAGAGAGACAACAGAACTGTGTGAGAAAAAAAAAAGAAAACAACTGCAGCCACCTCCTTCATTTCACTGATGCCCAGAGCTCCAGACTAACTTTTCCGCTAGTAGCACTGGTGCTCCCAACTTTCTCAGTTGGCCGCATCCCTTTTTTTGGTACAGGTATCAATGATAAGAAGCAGGGAGGGGCTTAGTGTTTAAGATGATGCATCGGTCCCTGCAAGTTTTGAGTTCCTTGCTGTTGTTGTGCAACTTCAAAGTTTCAAGCTAAACTGTGTTGACCTGGTGACAAGTTTAGTGTTGCCTGCAAACCATAAGCTCAAAAGATGAGTATGAGACAAGAGTTCAGAATTTCAGCTCTCATTTCCTGGTATTCACATCTAGATGTGTTAAACAACTCAGGACATACAAACCTTTGTTTGAACCCACCCATTTTTCAAGTGAGCACAACTATTAGAACATGTGACTTGTTGCCCAGGTGTTGCCTTTTAGGGTGATTGTCCAAACATTAAATTGCTCTGCATGAGTTTTCATCCTTGGTTCAAACCTATAAAGACTGCATTTCCTGTTAAAGAGGATAAACCAGCATGAAGACCAGAGAGCTGTCTATGGGAGAAAATAAGGCAAATCGACCAGAGCCATTGGACAATCATTGGGCATAGCAAGCACAACAATTTGCAATGTCCTGAAAAAGAAAGAAACTACTGGTACTGAGCAACAGACGTCGAACAGGTCGGCCAAGGAGTTAGTTGAAGTCAGAAATATCATGAGAGCTGTGAAGAAAACCCCCAAAACATCAGTAAGAAACATCAACAACGACCTCCACAGTGCAGGGGCGAAAGTATCACAATCCACTGTTGGAAGAAGACTCAGAGCAGAAATATGGAGGCCACACCACAAGATGCAAACCACTCATCAGCAGGAAGAATCAGACTGAAATTTGCAAAGAAATACAGAGATGAGCCGCAAATGTTCAGGAACACAATCTTATGGACTCATGAGACCAAGATTAATCTCTACCAAAGAGATGGAAAGGCCAAAGTGTGGACAAAGAAAGGAACTGCTTATGATCCGAAGCATACAAGCTCATCTGTGAAGCCTGGTGGAGGTAATGTCATGGCTTGGGTGCGCATGGCTGCTTCTGGAACAGGCTCATTAATATTTATTGATGATGGTAGCAGAAGCAGAATGAATTCAGAAGTGTACAGAAACATTGTGTGCGCCAATTTATGGAGAAATGCATTGAAACTAATGGGGAGGAAGTTTATCATGCAGCAGGACAATGACCCAAAGCACACTGCCAACAAAACAAAGGACTTCATCAGGGGGGAAAAGTGGAAGGTTTTAGCCTGGCCAAGTCAATCAGCTGACCTTAACCCAATAGAGCATGTATTTCACCTCCCTAAGGGGGAGACTGAAGGGAGAAACACCCCGAAACAAACAAGAACTGAAAGAAGCTGCGGTAAAAGCCTGGAATAGCATCACAAATGGGTCGCAGGCTTGAGGCAGTTATTGCAAGCAAGGGTTATGCCACCAAATATTAAATGTTATTTACTTTAAGATTATTTGTTCCATTACTTTTGCTCACCTAAGAATGCCGTGGTCTAATACAAACAGTGATATGTCCTAAGTTGTTTAACACATCTAGATGTGAATACCAGGAAATAAAAGCTGAAATTCTGAACTCTTCATCTCATACTCATCTTTTGATCTTAAACCCAAATGTCTACAGTGAACAACAAAAAACAAAAAGAATTTTCCTTACCGTTCCAATAATTTTGGAGGGGACTATATAGCTAAATAGCCAACTAGCCAAAGACAAACCTTCCTTATTTTCTCCCTGCTGCCTTCCGTCTCACCGCTTCACCTGCCGATGCATCTCTCTCAGTATTTTTGTAAAACGAGCTGCCCAAGCAGCCTCAGAGCGATTTCTTTTCTGCTGCTCACGGCAGCTGGTCAGACTATGTTTTGAATGATTAGCGGCAGGGCGGGGGTAGTTACGGTAGGTTGTGGTCAAGCGGGAAGCTTCATGAACATAGTTATTGTACAGTTTACCTGGCATCGGTCACAGCAGTGGTTTAAAAAGTTCTCACTGTGACCCCCCCCCCCATTGAGTTTAATTATCAAATGGGTTCCTGAAATAACAACAACCCCCAACAAATGCAGTTCCTTGCTTTTCTTTAAACACGCACTGTTTTCAGTTCTGATGCTCCGTTAGTTCAGAAAATAGTACATAAAACAAAATTTTTACTTAAAATGGTGTAGCCAAACAAGAGTTATGTTCACATTTGGTTATACTCACTAAAACTCACTGTGTGTATCCTTTACTTAAGTTCTAACAAATGTTGAATGCATTATCTTCCTTAAAATACATTTGCAAAAGTCTTTCAAATCCATTGTTTACATGCATGTTTACTTGCTAACTTCTTTATACCTGCCTTTGCTGGTGCATTGTCACATATGTTGGCTCATTACTGCCATCTGTTGATCAGTGGAATATTCTGAAAATGAGAGCTGTGTATCGCATCATCCTAGAGGTCAAAAGCTCCACAGGGAACCTTTAAATAAACTTGGCCCATCTATGTAAAACTGCTAAGAATATACGAGGCTGTATTGAGGCTTTAATGGCAGAACGTCTTCTCGAAATAATACAAGCAAATAATTTCCTCGTTGTTTGAGGCATACACTGAAAAAAAGGAAAGATTAACGAGTGGTAAACACTCACTCCACTGACCACAAAATAACCCATTCACTGAAAAGGCACGCCTGTGTGGGCCACATCACAAAAGTTCAACAGTGGCTCAGCAGGTAGGCGGAAGTGGGCATGAGGCAAGCATGCATGCTGGAATTTCAGAAGGTCAAGCGTGTTACTTGCTCTGTCTGGCAAACGAATGCAGACATTTGATAACTTGTCTGTTATAACCATGGTATATTTACACAATGAATATATGATGCTGCTAGCAAACCTACTGAGTCTAAAGCACTAGAATCCAAACAGAAAAGCAAAGGCTGTGTAAGAACACTGTTCTTGTTGCCGCAGGGGTGTGGTGGATCCAGCAGGCGGTCCAGAGGAAATCCTGTCCCCTTTATAACACCCAGTGAAAGTATTGCTTCTACAGTAACAACACACACAAACAGTGGTTCAGTCTGTAGATGTTGAGGAAAGCTGTACATGGAACTGCAGAGCTGAGGGCTTTACATCTACTGTACCTCTTAGACAACGCACATAAAGAAACACTGTCATTAGGGAACACGTTTCATTACAGACAAGGACCAACTAAAAAGGATGTTCTCCGTCTTCACTTTTACCTTAATGCCTGCCTTATTGCTATGGAAATTCAATTCCCGCTGCGTAGAACACTTATACAATAACACTGAAATGGGTGGAGAACATTGGGTAATGGTTAAAAAGCTGTGGTTAATGGCATCGCTTTATGACCATTTCCCCTGGATCCTTGGGCCTCCTGCCGTTTCACTAGCTCTATGTGCAATTCCTTCCTACAGCAGGCAGGCACGCTACGGTACACGGTTACAGGTAAACAACTCAGCAAGCAGGCGCACACACAAACAGTTCTAGTTTGAGTCTGGTCTCATAGTCAAACAACAATAGTGCGTCCATGATGCATATTTGTACCCTAACATGAGAGTCTCCACTTCAGCTGAAGCCTACAAG